CGGGTGAGGGTGCGTGGTCCTATTTGCGTGGGTGGCGGGACTCGGTGGTGGATGGACCTGAGCTCGACAAATTGGGTGCTGGGGCATGGCGCACTCCTCGATTCCCAATACCGTCTTCTGGAATCCATCACCCAACACGCACCGCTGCAAAGCTCGATCCTGACATTACCTTTGCGATGCTCGATGCGACGGATCTCGTGGCGCAGATGGTTGCGCTGGAACGGTTCGTAGGGAAGAAGGTCGGGTGGTTCGCGGGTGTGTCGTCCGGTGGTGGTTCCCAAGCACGGACCGAGTGGGTTGGAACTGGTGATGGAGAAGATATTGGGGTTGGACCTTCGCGGAGTCCAGCAAAACCACAAAGATTGTGTGGGCTGGACAAAAGTAAGCCGATCGACATACCACTGGTGATTTGACGATCGCGGAACTTGAAGGGCAGTATCGCCTGTCTGGACGAGCAGGGAGGGCGGCATATTCCCTCCGACTGGAAGGATTCGCAGCATGGGAGGTACTACGTGCGAAAATATCCATTGTGCAGTGTGCATTGCGTACGCCGGACACGTCGAGCGATGAGTGTCTGGTGACGGGGTCATCGGGCGGTGTTATGATGGACAATTTGTCTGACTCTTGTATTTTGCAATTGTGGATTTGTATTTCGTTTCTTCCATTTTGTGGTTTGTCGACGTTATACCATATATAAATATACCTGTCAAAATGAGATCTGGGTCATAACTTCTGCACTTTTAGGCCATGCAAAATATGGTTCTTTTCTTGGAGGTGGTGTGAGTGTGACGTGTGTTCATTGTAGGAGGGAAGATATTATTAAACTTGCCGGCACCAGCACCTGATATGATCCAAGAGAAGAAACCATGGCGCACAACATACGTTCTCAGAACTTTGTGCTACCAAGAGCTTGTATCAGTTTGAAAATCGGTATTATTGTGATCTGAGGCCTGTGCACTCAAGTCGAGGCAAACACACTTGCCCCTTTGTATTAGTTATTGCAGCGTTTTCATTCAAGGACGGTACCGGCGGAATGGGCTTATCAAACTTACAAACAATGCTTGAAACTTGAAACAATGCCTGTTCCATCCTTGGACTGTCCTTTTTGTAGTTTGTGTGAGTGACTGAGTTGACGTGGTGGTGGTACTGGAGCAGTGCTGTTCAATGTGCCGGGAAGATGCAATCTCTGGAATAATCATTTATTTTTGATTTGATTTCTACCTATGGTGAACAACAAATGGTTTATGGTGGTGTTGCATATAGCAAAGTTTGCTAACTGCAATGTATTGGCTTCTTTTTGTTATCTCCGCAATCAAAGTAGCTGATAGTGAGTTGAGTGATGAAATGGCAGGTGACAAGAAAAGTCCTTTGAGGTGGTGTGAGCCTGTTTGTGGGAAGACCATCGCCTGGTGACAGCTAGTCAAACTCAGATGTGCGTGGGCAACTGATGTAATCCCATTTCTACTGGCGTGCAGTCAACGGGACAGCATATCTGTCTCAAAGTTGCTTATGGATTGCTAGCGACAGGTTGTTCCTCTCCTAGTATATCTGTCTTTACCCGTTTCGCAATTCCCAAAGATGAGAAACAACAGCACACAGGTCACAGCATATTACATTCTCCCAAGGATCTGTTGCCAAGACCCTCTACCTGTTTGAACACTGCAGCAGTCAGAAACGCACAATGCGTTTCCTCATGCACCCTGCAGTGTGGTTTGTCATTGAGGTCTCAGTTCTGGCTGCATTAATTACCAACATGCAAAACGGAAACATTGACTCACATAGAGCGGGTGCGCGAACGCCATCATCTGCATCGCCCGAGCCCCGAACTGAACCGCGAGCAAAAAGCTACGTCATCCTGGTCGAGCCAGTCAGCAAAACACGTCCACGGCAGGGATCGAACCTGCGACCTCCCGCTCCGGAAACGGACGGCGTATCCACTAGCCTACGCGGACAAAATATATCACATATTTAAGGTTACTGTGAACTACAAACTTTTATATTTGACCGTGTGTGACTGCCGCTTGTGACCACTAAACAATGGTAGACCCTCAACGCCATAATAATAGTGGTCGATAAATCAATATGGCGCGAAAACGCAAGGTGCAGAGTACTGGCTTCACACAGAGAGAGTTTTGCAACAGGGGGGTTGATCTTCTGTACCAACAAATATTACCCAAATGTCTATGTCTATGAAGGAATTAGTACCGAATATTAAGCAGGATCATCTATACAACTAGTAGAGTTCATAGAAACGGGTTCTGACCACCACCCAGTAATGGATTCAATTTGTCCGACGATGCTGACATCACCCGAAAGACCTTGAGACGACAACATGATGGAAGGTCCCACACTCCACTTGCTGTTCTGTGTCCCGAGACGTCAAACTTCCTGTTTACATTGTTTGTGCAATGGTGTGACAGACTGTTCACTCCCCTCCACCGCGGCTGCTCGCTTCCACATCGCTCACACCACACTTCACAAAGCGTTACACCACGGCCCAGCGCCTCAATCGTAGGGCCAATCGCCTTTTGTGCCCTCAACAATGCAATCGGCGAGGTGGAGGTTGCATCCACATCATCATATGAGTCCTCGTCAGCAACGGTTCCACGTGTACCGTAAACAACGGTAGGTCGGCCTTCAACAGTGTGCAGTTTCAACAGGCGGTCCATTGCTTGCACCTTTCGGTGCTCCAACCAATCACTTTGCTCCTGCTCAGTGAGGTTGCTCACGTCCAAGAGGGTGAAAATGGTGGCCTGAGGAAAGTGATTGACAAGACGCTTGAATTCCACAGGGAGTGAGCGATATGCCTCAGAGGTTCGTGCAAAGACGTCCTGGTATATAGTGATGGTTCCGTAACGTTCCAGATTTGTTCCGTCCAGGCAATCTACCAGACTGGAGAGCAGTGGTGACACATCATGGGGATATGCAATCGCTTGTGTAGAAATGTCTGTGATTGGTACTTGCCGCCCGGTGACTGAACAGAAATGTCCGCCCTCCACTTTGGCATTAACACCATCGACCGACCGCTTTTCCCTCGCTCCCACCCTTGCGCAAGAAGGAAGTTCCACACGCCGTATGATGTTTCCATTCGTAAAGACTGTTTCGAGATCCTCGCCGGCAGTTGAGATAACCCGGTTGAGCGATAGCGTGAAGAGCTTTGATACAAAAGAGTGCGTATCGGTCTGACTCGGGAACTGTTGACCATCCAGGAGCGCGTCTTGATGTCCATCCGCCTTTGCGAGTACCAGTGATGAAAAAATCACCAGCTCCATTTGCCGCGGAGATGAAATGGGTCCCCTTGAAACGGGTGAGAATAAAATCCTGGTATCGAGAGTCCAAAGGGGTCAACCCCTGCAGATACGGTATCCCCAGAAAGCGCGCCCTGCGTTCAACATCTCCATCATTGGAATGTGATGACGGGAAAGCAACAATCCAAGCGACCCGAATCAGTTCCATTTGTGCACGTCGAATGTCTGATCCGCGGTCACCATCTGCGATTCGAAGGACGGAGACAGATGTGGTCTCATTGCTCCCCAGCATCCCGTGTCAAGTATCTCGAATCGCTCTTTTTCTAACGCACCGCACAATTGACCATTTTGCTTCAGAAAGGTGTGGCCTCTGTGCTTTGGTCCTGGCTGAAGAGCAGTTGCCCGTACGAACACAACACTTTCCCACGTCAATCCCTCAACACTTTCTGACTTTCATCAGACAACATATTTCACTAGAGTAGCCAGCTACGTCCTACTTCTCTTGCTTTTGCTGTTTTACTCCTCCCGTCCCATCGCACTCACCACCACCTGTTCCGGTTCCCGTTCCCCTCTCCGTCACCCTCGAGGCCCCACCACACTCACCACCTCGTTCACCTGTTCCGGTCCCGTTCCCCTCCCTGTCACCCCCGGGCCAAATCGCACCCACCGCCACCTCGTTCACCTGTTCCCGTTCCCACAAATAGGATCAATCATTCAGGCTTGTGGATGTTTTATCTTTAAGACTTGGTGAACTGGTTGACCCTTCTGTACCAAGCAATTTCATGACCGGATCCGATAGGTCCGAGTCACAAAAGTAGTGACTGGATCCGGACCCATGGTACCAGGTTGGGAGGGGTCCGGGTTTTTGACCTGGTGGGTCGGAATACCATTCTAGTGATCGCCTCCCACAAAACCACACTTAATGATCTTTTATATATCTACCAGCCTTCCCCACCATCCGTCTACCGGCACAATGTGGTGCCTCACGGCAGCGTGGACATGCCGCTGAAGTTCAGGTGGAACACAGCGATCTTACCGATCATGGTAAATCTGATCGTGCAGCGTCATACAATGATATGTATTTACAAAATTAAAATGCATATTTACACGATATTACAGGATCCAAAAAAAGTCATGTCCCTTATTGTTCTCGGATACACCCGCCAGGGAGCAGCCACCTGTACTCATCAGGACGCTCCTGGACCAGCCTGGGGAGTTCCAAGTTGTTGGGTGAGCTCGGCTCCAACTTCCACTTGGAGACCAGTTCCCGCCATGTGTATGCCTCTGGAAGCATATCGAACATGTCTCCACCGGTGCATATTACTTCCTGTATTCGTTCGGGCTTGAGGAGTTCCGTCGGATGATTTCCCAAACGATCAGTGTGTGAATACCCTGCATAATTCCCCGACAGAAATTTGTCAACAGAAAGGTGGGTGTTCAGGTGATGAAATTGACGACTGACCTTTAGCCTTGGTGACAAACTCGCCCAAGGTTTTGAAGCACCACGAGCAGTGCCATCCACTCTCGACCAGCAACCGCTCCGTCACTTTCCCGTGCCTGAAAAACTCTTCAGGACCCTGGCCCTTGTATGGCCATTGAGTGGCATGTGCTCGCCAACTACTCGCTCCTTCGTTGATCGTTCCTGCCTCAAACTCAAACGAATACAAGTAGTCCCGCAGTCCGAGATGCAGGGGATAAGGAAAATCACACGCTTGGAGTAGTCGAGCCGTAGCCAAAGAAATCAATTCATCCACATCGGAGAACAGAAACACGGGATTCCGCCCGTGCGGTTCAGTCTGGAGTGCCTCCAGCAGAAACGCTGTCACGGCGTCTCGATTCTCGTTCTCCTGCACGAACGGATCTTCACCCTGTTCCAAAGCCCGACCTTGAATTGACCGGTAATTGATCTTGTGGCGGTACGCAGCGAAAGCGGGAGATTCAAGTGCGGTTGGCAAGAGGAGTGGTTTGGGGATCCCGGTGAATGTGTGCGTGGACTCCACGATAAAGTGACGGGATACGATGGGATCGAGCCCGTGAAGGCGGATGAGAAGCATAGGAAGTTCGGTGGAGAAAATGGTCTGAAAGAGGTGTCGTTGGCGCGAGTCACCGTTCCATTTCATGAAGAATGGTGGTTTTGCTTCCAGTTTCCAGAGACAGTCCCGCGCGTAAAGATCACAAACGGCTCTCGCAAGAGACGCACAGTGGGTAGCTTCCGATCATGTGCATGTGCCTCGTAATCCATGATAAAAATGAACTTCTCCCCAAATGAGTACTCACCGCGGTCCACAGCTCGACATTGGTCTCGTTTCGCTCCTTCCAGCCATGCATTTCACACATTTTCTTTCTCCCAATCGCTTCAATGTCGATTTGATATTGAGGGATTCGTTCTTTGGGTCGTTCGTCCTTGTCCCATATGGGACGCGTTATGTAGGAGACCCAGGATCGAGGCAT